AGATTTGAATTGCATGTGGAATTTCGTTTGGTCTTTCGCTACTGTTTTCCGGGAAGATGGACTGATTTTTTACCATCAGTTCAATACTTTTCAAGATGAATCGTTTTTTTATACTCACTCTTTCCTCTTTTCCTCCTACAAAAGTTTTATGCTCGCTACTCCAAGTCAATGACTTTATTCGGCAATATAGTCAGGTTCGGTACACAACACTTTGCGTCAGAGGCCGACATCGCCGACATTGAAAACTTTTTCAAAGACAAAGACACAAAGGACATCACCAGACCACTCCAGCAAAGTATCGAGAAGATACGATCCAATGCTGCCTGGTTGGGCCGGGATGCCAAGGACGTTAAAGACTGGCTAGGTAGTAATGGTTATCTTGTTGTGTAATTATACTACTTATTTATATAACTAAGTATTATGTGTGTATGTAAGACTTGTTGACGTATATTCGATGTATTGGAACAAGAAGTAAATTGAAGTTATAACGATAGAAAGAATTCATTTCTAGTGTTCATGTTCGTACTCTGTTTTGTTTGTTTGTTGCTTTTTTGCTCCGGAATTACAGTTTGTCAGAAGAGATTATTATTAATTAACATGCAAGTTGTGCATTCTACGTCTCATTTGTTATATATGTCTCTTCAATATGGAAATATCAAACCTCAAATAATCGATTATAAACCAAACCCTTCACGGTGACTCGCCTAAAGCACTATCGCCCTCAAGGCTGCCCTTCGCGCTTCCAGTCCCAACATCAATCATAATACCAACACGATTATTTGCGTCTTCCTCTGCGCATTCTCGTAACATTCGTACAATATCTCGTGCCGCACTTTCGCGCTCAGAATCGCGACCATATGCACGTCCGAGGTTCATCTCGGCATCGTCTAAAGGAGTACGACCCCAGCGGTCTTTGGTTTCGGTATTTATGTTTGGTATTGAAAGTAAATATTGCACAGTCGATAGACGAACTTCGGTGACGGCGTGATGGAGAGCGGTACGATGATCGAAGCCTGTACAATTTACGTCCAGACCAGCTTCTATAAAGTGGCGGAGTAGCTCGACATCATCTGTCGTTGCAGCTCTGTAGTACAGTAAATTGTGAATGTGACGATGTGATGTGAATTACAATCTCAATGATAAACCAACGCTTTATCGCCAACAACATGTAATAATAAGAACGTTAATACAATCGCTCCCCACACGAGACCAAAACATACTATACTTACACCAACGCTTGGAATATTATATCTTGTGTTTCTGAATCATTAAAATGCGCCCCAGCTTGCCTAAGAAGTCGAACAACTCTCATATGTTTATGCTGGGCAGCCTCGAATAACGGTGTATGATTAAATCTATCGCGTACATGCACCGAAGCACCATTTTGTAAGAGAAACTGCACTATCTCATAATGTCCAGCCGAGCATGCAATATGCTAAGAATTAAAAAAGTCAATATATAACCAAACTAAAATAACACAGGATGCGTAATATTCGATCAACTTACAAGTGGAGTACGACCGTCATAATCTGTGCAATTTAGTAATAATGAACGTCCGGCGCTCTCTACTAATAAATGTAATCCGTCAAGGTCGTTTAGCCCAGCCGCAGAACACAGGAGGACGGGATAAAGCGCTGATTCCATTAACACTCGACCGGGTAAATCCAACCCCTCCTTTGACGAAGCGGCTTCTGAATATGTATTGAACGAATAAGTGTTGAGCATATAGATAAACATTGATATAGGCCTTAATCTGATCATCGTGAGAATATCTTACTTATTATGTCTTGTATAAGCGTATGTGTATAGTTATGTACGGTGAATCGTTGCGTCTCAGCAAGGACAGTTAATTCACCACGGAGATTTCGTTTAATTTCTTTGCGGACTTCATCGGGACTCAGTCCTTTACCCAAAAGATACGACAGCTTTGCCAGAGCACACTGTTTAGAGAGTTGGGATACAATTTTTTCAGCGTTAAAACCAATAATCCAATTTTCATTCATGTTAGCGTTAGTCATTGACAAAAATTTACTCTACCTCTGGTGTCATATCACTGCCCGGTACAACGCCCACTTTGGCCAATGCTTTTCCCGTAGCATACAGATCGCTCACCAAACCTTTTTTGCATTGTGTACAATTTACGACAACTACACCACGATCGCTCGCCTCAGCCAGACATCTCATCAAATCGTCACGCGTATCAGGTGCGTTTCCTGCTCCGTATGTTTCGAGTACAACGCCTCGGATCGGATCAGCCAGGAATGCGCGCAAGGTCGATTCAGTGATGCCCGGAAATAAGCGCAATGCAGCGACGTTGCAGTCGAGTTTTTTGTGTGCACGGAATGGGGCTATTACTGATGGACGCATTATATCTGACCAGTTTACTTCTGCAAAAAAATATATTAAGGTTAAATGAATACTCAATGCAGTTCTTTTTCCCCGGGGAAAAAGTCCTCTTTTTCTTTTTCTTTATCCGATTTTCCTATTCCAACATGTCCCAATTTCTCTTATTAATTACCGATATTTATCCCAACAGTAACAAGCGGCCGTAGATTAGGGGATTCAAACGCATCAAAATCCACTGCATTCGATTTGGAGGCTCTGTTACCACGGAAAAGTTTATTATTGAAGAATAGACACACTTCTGGTATCACAAAATGTCCAGCTATTGTTAATGCGCCCAGAAGATTTTCCACGGCATCATTGCGCACCTCTGAGATTGGGACCTAAGATGCAGAAAAATATTACGAGTCATTTCAAAAACTGAAAATAATATGCGGATACTGAAGCTAGTTTCGTACCTGTGATCCAGTGAGTATCACAGTCTTGCTGTAGTGAAGTAGATTTTTTGATCAAAACAATTGATCTATATGCAGATTTAAAACAATTATAAGTGATTACGTATATTTACCCCAAATTCTCTAGAAGAAAGCTTAGTACACTAGCCGTGTACGCCATCGTGTCCGTGCCTGTTCATTTGGCAAATAGTCTATTAATATGGATGCAGTTCATAATCCGCATAAATACGTATTCTCAATTACTGACCATGCAATATTATAAACGCTTCGTAATATTGATAATTTGCCTCTATATCTGAAGTTATACGTACCCAGTCTGTATAGGGACAAATAGAAATTACGAGTCAGACAAGAACCGGTTGGTTAATAGGCAAGAAGAATGGTTTCAGCTTACCGTCAATACACATATTACATGAATCTAATAATGGCTCGTACTCAACAATCGAATATCTTAAATAAATAAACACGCAATCATAAATTTTTCCAGACTATTGGCTGTTATCGCTCTCTCCGTCATGCTCCTAATACCGTCGTTCTAATCTCTTACATGATTCTCTTTCCATATAACGAAGGTGGTGTGATTAAAGTATCGACAAACTTCACCGGACCAGCCTTCCCAGTGTCCTTGTCTGTCAAAGATATTTTGTTCTTGAACCCCTCTCCACGCTCTCCCTCTAGTTCACCGAACGTACGAACAGCATCCATCCCAACTTTCATGTAAGCGCGCGGATCATGAAAACGTGGCATTTGTGTCAAGGTCCGGGTTAGGTAGTGCTGGACCTGTTTGCAAGTTTAGTGAAATTAGAGTTCGTGATAAATATACGTATTAAAATTTTCTTGTTTAGATCATTACTTTTCAGGTCGCGGGAGAATATTGCTTGACTTACAGGGATATATCCTCGCGACTTTGTATGTTTCATTCCCACTGTACCGCCAGTGTATATTATCAATACACGAGATAAATCTAGAATATGATTATATTCCAGAAGATACTTTGTAACTTGTAACTTACGTCCATTTAACCACTCTCTCCCTCTTACACCCGGTCTCTCTCTTTCTCACTCGTATATTTCCTCCCCACCCAAATGTACACATGTTCTATTAAGTTCTCATCCATTTTAATCACTTGTTCTATTTCAAACCACTAACCAGCCACGGCCATATCAGTTTGGGTAGCGCCCAACGCCATAGAAACACAGTCATTATGCAGAACGGGTTGAATGACGGATCCTACGTCTTCTTCGCTCGAACAGTAACCGCTTTGCATATTTGGGGGAGGAGACAACAGTCTTTTCTGAGGTTTTCTGATATCATCATCCATATCTCTCATTCTCTTTAGATTAGTGTTTTCTTCAGAGGAAAGAGGAGTATAATAATACCGAGAACACGGTTGTGCCATCGCAAAATGGATCTTGAGTGACAAGCGTGGGAAGTGGAAATTAGTGAAACACAAGAGTATGACAAGGGAGGTGAAACTGGCGAAAAAAGAGTGCCCGAAGGGTGTCCGGAGGTTCTTTTCGGTTATGGAGTTATTTATATATAAATTTAAAGGACACGAAAAAAAAAGCCATAAACACGATCCGACGTTTCGCCATACTTTATCATTATTATCATTGTGTTGTGATGAAGTGTGATTGTCAGACCTGTAATGCAGGATTAGGCAAGTGCGGTAAGCACAGGCAAATGTTTATTTCTATTTTGGTAAACCGGAAGCAACCATTTGAACAAAGCCGTTCATATGTGTTCTTGCCGTTTTCAAATAATTGATTACAGCATAATTAGTATAACTTTTAGTATTAATATTAATGCATCTGCGGTCATACGGTCGATCTGACTCTTTTGCGGGCTGAAGGAAAGAGGTGAAAAAAAAAATACATTGTGTTTGTCGACAGCATGTTCTCAGCCCCCACCCCTTGATCTGCACACGACGAATTCCGATTTAATTTTCCAAATTTGATTTGTTGAACGTTCTACAATCTTTCAGATTATAATTCCTATTTCTGGATTCACCAATAGTGAAAAGAACTTTGTTTATTATTATGTAAAGTTCTCAAAGCAGCATAATATACCGAAACCACGGATCCTATCCAAATATTTGTGATTATACATGATGTATTCACGTGAACTGAGCGTCACATATTCATTTGCCCATTATTATTATTGAAAAGTCTAAAGTTAAATTTAAACTCTTCATTGATCAATTCCTTTTCTAGATCCATTGTTTCGTTATGCATACACTGAACTCCCTTAAAATGCAACCTCTCTAAATGCACAGGAGTGTTCAGCAATTGCCAAGCTTTCTTCCGGTCCCATCTCTATATGCGTGTTTTTCTAAATGCAATATCATGTAATCATTGATCTATAAAAAGGCACGCAACAAAGTCTGTGATATTAATATATTTGCTGTTACATAATCGCACTGAAAGTTGAACAATCTATATTCAGATCATACGGTTATATTTTGGTTGGGTTATTATTAGAAGATGTTCTCTGTATGCAAGGCCCAAACCTCGATACATGATTATTAAAATTTTCCTTGATATAATAAAGTTATATAGTAATAAATTCCAAACTGACATATTAATATGTAAATTCCAAATTTAAATTAATGTTGAGATCAGGAATCTAGAAGGAGGTATAAAAAAATATGTTCCAGCGAGTTCTGTTTCAGGAAGATTATGACAAAGAAGAATCTGTAAAACTTGAAAAAGGAGACCATCTGGTCAATAAGCGAGGCCACATAACCATAGTAAGAGATTTTGTTGGTTACACTGAAAGGAATTTTAATTCTTGGTCAAATATCAGAGAAGGAAAAGCCCGATCACAATGTTATTGATCTCATACACCCCTGCCAAAAATATAAATACGAATGTCAAATCCAATTTTCTCAAACACGCACATAATAAACATCGATGAAAGTTAATATTAGTCAATCGACTCTGTAACAAACGCTCTTTTTAACTGCTAATATGGAGTAGCACCCCCTTTTGATTTCAATACAGCTTTAACTCTTCGAGGCATACTATCGACTAATTTAATGATTACATCGCTTTGTATTTGATCCCACTCTCTTTTCAGTGCGGCAAACAATTCTGCCTTATTTTTCGGTCTGAACTTATTTCGCCTAACCCTCCTTTCTAATTCATCCCACAGATGCTCTATTGGATTAAGGTCAGGACTCTGAGAGGGCCACTCAAGCGAATTAATCGTATGAGATTCCTTCCAATTTCGGGGCATTGTCATCTTGAAAAATATATGTCTCATTGCCAAGTTGTTGTACATAAAGTAATAAGTAACACGTGTTCTCCCAAAATTTGTCTATATTTGATATTCCCTTCAACGGTCCTAGTCTATCCTTACAGAAACATTCCCACACCATTTACGGTCGGTACCAAACAATCTTTCATATATTTTTCATCGGATAGTGTCCAGACAAGCTTATGCGCATCGTTTCACTAAAAATTAACTTGTCCCATTCGCTTCAATCCTTTACGCGCTTGCACCATAATACCCTTTTTTTTTTATTCTTTTCGCTAATTAGTGGTTTCCTCTTTGCGACTCTACTGTAAAAGCCATAATTAAAAAGTGAGTTAAGGAAGTAGATGAGGAAAGTGGAGTGTGTAAGAAATGTAAGAGGGAGTATGAATAGTTGACTAATTAACTAACTAAAATATATGTAGAGTACGCTGCACTGCTCTTTTACTTGCTGATATAGTAAGATTTTTATTAAACTCTTCTGTTATCTGGTCTCGCGTTGCGCTTCTATCCTTTTCGTTACTCTTATCAATTGTCACTCGTCTCTTCATTAAGTTTTTGTGGGCCTACCAGAGCGAGGCTGCACTGTGGTGCATTCATCTTCTCTATATCTTTCAATGACACCCTGAACGGCCCTTTGGAACATTTGAGAATAACAGCTATCTCAGAAAAAGAATGCCGCTCTCCCAAGTGCAAACCTATAATCATTCCTCGCTCAAAAGCAGTGAACTCTAAACTTCGTGGCATTCTGTCAATTTCACTTATTGCTCTAAGTTGATTGAGGGATGGCCAAGAGTGATCTGGAAAGCAAAAACAGATGAGGGCCAAATAGTTATCATTAAGTTTACGGATCAGTACAATACTGAAGCCCACCAATTGTTGGCTAATCAGGGACTTTCTCCTCAGCTCTACTATGATAGCAACAATGCTTCCAATAGGTGTTATTGATCACATTTATATAAATGCTATTATTGAGCATAACCAGTGTTTGCATGTTTTCTCTGAAGTCAAGAAGGCACTTGATATACTCCACAGAGAAGATATTGTCTTTGGAGATTTGCGCCTTCCCAATATACTTGTGTCTAGTGTCATCAGTGGGTGAGCAAACTCGTGTAAAGTTGGTGGATTTTGATTGGTGTGGAAAGGAGGGCATGGTTAAATATAAATATCCACCAATATTGAATCCTGATTGTGCATGGCCAGAGGGAGTAAAACCTTGTGGCATTTTTTCCAAGTCACATGATTGATCTTGGCTAGAAAACCTGCACAAGTCACTCAATATCTGAAAGAAAAACAGGTCAGGAAACTGCTCTAATTTCCAAATGATTTTTTAGACAAATAAATAATGTATATGGAATGTTGTAGTTTGTAAGTATCTTTGTGTATTGTGGTTAAAGTGTAGTGAATAGACATCTTTTGACATTGAGTTGTCGTATACACAGTGAAAGTACTAGTACTAACAAATTTATTTATGGATGGATATCAGTAATGGTAGCTTGCTTTTGCAGAAGCTGGACAGTATCTATGGATGCCTATACAGGAAACTGAATGATATTGTTGTATAAGGTGGTTTACAATTTGCCTGATTATATGCTAATCACATGTTCTCCTGATATAAGAAATTCTCAAAGAACAACTCCCTGCTGAATCAATGAAAAACGGCTGTAATTGATATGCAAACAATAAAAAGAAAAGCCATGTTTGGCTTAACAAATTGTATGTAAGCAATTTTTTGATTGATGATTGTCTATTATTATTACTATACAATGAGAATGCACAATAATCTTGCCAAGTTTGCTATTGAAAATTTAACAATTAAATATTAATATATCTTTATCCTCAATATGCTTTCTTCTATATCAATATAATGTCTGCAGAATTAAAGTTATTGTTATTGTAGCTATTTCTTTTTTTTTTGTAGTAATAGTGCTAACAGACAACATCTTTCCAGTTTCTTTGCATTGTACTGAATTTAAAATGTAGAGCATCACTATTACTATTTAATAAATAGATGTGGAGGAAACTATAAGAATAAAGAAGAGAAAACTATCATAATATTTCTGGATCAATATTGGCCATCTGACTTTTTTGGCTGCTGGCAATGCTTTTGTTGTTATCTGGAAAGTCTGCATCAATAAAAACAGACTATTAAGTGCAAGCAGCATAAACTGGAAAAATTTCATCTATTATTATTGCTGAGTCACCTAGAAAGTTCCTACGTCATTAATTAAGCCACTGATCATCGCACCAGCAAGCATCAACTTAGCAATCCCATCGAAAACCAAAACAAAAACTACCATGGCTACTACGCTTGAATACTATAGGCAAAAAGAGAAGGAAGCGAAGGACGAACTGAACGACGCGAAGGCAGCGTTGCAGACGTTTAACGAAGGAGAGGACGATGGTCTGCTGCTGAAGAAATTGAGGAGACGCAGGAAAGAACTAGATGAAGAAGATAAGAAGGAAAAGGAGAGGCTGGAAGGCGAGGAGACCAGGTTGATAAAGGCTGTGGAGGATTGTAGAACGGTATGGGTTAAGAGGGATGAAGACTTGCGCCGAGCAAGGGAGACCACTCAACCAGGTAATGACTTTGTGAATCGGGCGTTGGGAATAGAGAGTAGACGTAGTAAGGTGGGGTTTTTTTGGCTAACTTGTATTGTGCTTATTTATCGCAATCAGCCCCCGCCCATGGTGAAAAAAGGAAGGCAGATGAAGGTAAGGTCGTTTACCAGAATGCTCTTGCTGGATTACTATGTTTTTCACACTACAAACGTCTTGTTATTGTCCTACCTTCTCCATACGTTATAATACAGACCAGCTCTCAGACGCCGAACGCGAGCGTGAACCACGAAAGCAACGTTTGACAGAAGCACTGGAGACAGTATCCGACCAAATTAACCAAGCACCTGGCCCATCCTCGCTGGCGCTTCGCAAAACGTTCCCCAAGGAGCAACAAGCGCTCAATTTTCTCTGCCATCGTCCCCCGACACACTGTGGTCGTCAAATTATCTGGTATCATCAAGCTTTCCGGAACTTTGTAAGACACAGCACAGATCAGAGCATCCAGCCATCCAAAATTTCTTATGATGCAAGTGTCGAGCTTTGCGATGCCATGGCAAAGATATACAGAGGAGAGAATGAGCG